TTGTTTTGTAATTCCAACGTGTAGAAATTAATACATCGATCTATATTGATAATTGATAAGAAAAATGAACCTCGTTCATTCATAAGTAACAATAAGACTTAAATTTTATTTTAACCTAGTTTTGTTTTAGCCAGGTTTTATTTTAGCCAGGTTTTATTTTAGCCAGGTTTTGTTTTAGCCAGAATTAGCAAGTTCTGTAAAAGTTCTTGTCTTGATAAAGCATCCTCCCTCCTAATTGAGCCTCAAGCAAGACTTGTTGAAAACTTTTTGGGACAGAAAGTTTACAAGGGAAATATACATGCTTCAACAGAGTTTTGATTGTTTGCAAGTTTTGATTGATTGCAAGATTGTTTGCATTGATTGATTGATTGCAAGATTGTTGCAAGTTTTGATTGATTGCATAAATTTAAAACTACAAGGAATTAATTTAAACATTTTTCAGTCACTAATAAAAGGTGTCAAAACAAAACTTACATGAATCGTAGATAAAGGTGTTTTTTTCATAAAAAAATAACTGAATTTTATTAAAAGATAAATATTTTATTTAAAAAAAAAAAAAAAAAAAAACATTTTTTTTTTAATTATAAAAAAGAAATAAAGATCACTAGATTTCTTTAAATATGTTTGTATTTCGAATTTGATATATATTCTTATTTAAACAAGGTTGTATATAAAACTTATAATAAAAATTTAAATAATGTTGTATTTAAAAATTAAATAAAATGTGTACCGTGCAATATTTCATCGTTACTAACAATACTAACAATTTTTTCATTACTAACAATTTTTACATTACTAACGATTTTTACATTACTAACAATTTTTACATTACTAACAATTTTTACATTACTAACAACTTTTACATTACTAACAATTTTTGCATTACTAACAATTTTTACATTACTAACAATTTTTACATTACTAACAATTTTTACATTACTAACAACTTTTACATTACTAACAATTTTTGCATTACTAACAATTTTTACATTACTAACAATTTTTACATAACTAACAATTTTTACATTTCTAACAATTTTTACATTACTAACAATTTTTACATTACAAACAATTTTTTATTAGCTTATAGTTTTAATAGATCGTTTGTAATTCTTACTTTATTTGTAATAACAGAATCCAAAAGTTTTAACTCCATCAGTAATCATCAGATGAACAGTCGGAACAAGTTTTTTCAACTGCGATGATACCGATATAAACGTAATGCGCGATAGGATATTGATTGCAAAGTGTAAGAATATTGCATGTGCGGTGATAAGTGTAGATATTTACTTAGTGTGTAAAATTGGGTTCAATACAAAGGATGAAAAACCATTAGACTTTTTAGCAGTTTATGTTTGTGGTGTAACAAGGAACTTCACAAATCGCAAATCCATCCAATCAACATATTTTAAACAAACTTTAATAATTAAAGACCTGTAAACCTGTTTTACTAATTGTTAATTAAACATTTCAGTAGAGAGTAAATATAATTTGAATATGCACATGCTATTAACACTGTCAACTCAGATTACTTTGACGTACTTGTTGCCCAAATATAATTAAGCTACGATAAAGAAAAAATGATGTAATCTAGCAAAACTAAAAAAAAGGTGTGATAATTCTATCCTTAACATAAATTTATATAATAAAAGTTAAATCATTGTGTAGCATTAAAACAAACTGTCAAAAATTATTTCAATAAAGTTTTGGGTTGAACCTATTCTAAATAAACCATGTATGAAAAGTTTGATAATTACTTGTTTAACTGTAATATTGCGTGGGCTATTACTAGCTATACAAAACAAAAGAAATTTAACAAAGAACAAAAACATGCGTGCAGAGCAGTATTTAAACAAACATAAATGTTCCTTGCGAACCAATTTGTTACATTATGAAATCTTGAGAACAAATTAAAACAAATAATATTGTTCATTGATCTTAATCCTGACTTTAAATGTTTTTATTAAACTAAGTTCTATCAAATCTAAGTAGATTTTATAAATTAAATTCAGATGATGAGTATAAAAATTCATCTAGTGATTATGTTAATAATATCATATTACTTTGATTTTGTTTATTTGAGGTTTATTTATATACTTCTCAAAAATTTTAGAAGTTGTATTTTCACAATTTAACATTCTTAATTATTAGTTATTTTCTATGTAAGTTTTAATGATATCGTGGCTTTTATAGAACCTGCTAAAAGTTATGAACTGCTGCAAACTTCTTTAGCATTTATAAATTTGCCATATCTTATGACGTCAAAAAATTTCATTTGAGTAATTAAAAAATTTATATTGCATATTATAACCACGCCACATTGAAAGATAGCAAAAAATGGGTGATCTGAAAGTATTGGAGAAAAATTAACATCTAATAGAGCAATTTAACAAAATTATGGAGGAATTATAAATTTATAAATCAACGATCGGTTATAAGGTTCGCAAAATCCGTAAAATTTTTATTTCCCGGATTTGGGGTGTGTAACTATTTCAAGGAGTTTCCGGGCCAATCCCGGCATGATTTTATGCTTTAACTAAAAGAAAAGTTGTAACTTAATTATGTAAATTGCATTAAAATGAATAAAACTTGAAAATTTTTTTATTTTTATAGTCTTTCGAAAATTTAATTACAGAAAGCTCAATCTATCTAAACTATTATCAGTGAAGCGACTTCTTGTTTTATTGCAAAATAGTCTTGTGAAGAAAAATGCCGTTTCTAACTCTATGCTTGTTGGTTTATTCGTCATTAAAGACTATCAACCGAAGTACAACTGATAACAATTTAAAATGCAAGTCACATGTTGTGCCAAAATCAAATGCAAGTGACATGGTGGCATGAAGTTAATAATTAATCTTTCAGTTAACACTGTTCCCTGAAATTATAAATAATGCTATAGCCTATTTTTTTCATATGTTTTAGCATGTTTTTTTTATACTTCAGAAATACCTAAGTTAAAACCAATTTAAAACAATGACATTTCTTCTAAAAATTTTGAAGTAAAAGCTTTGTTGAATCTTGACAAAGAATTTCAATTTTTTATGAAATTTGACATGCTCTCCTTATTGTCGAATCAAAGAAAAAATATAAATTTATTAAATATTTATAGTTTTTTATTAAGTTGAATTTTTAATGTTCAATAAACTAAAATAAATACATTCTATTAATACATAGACACAATATAAATCAACACAAATTAATTTTTAATTTTTTACCATAATTGTTAATATCATTTTTATTGTTATCATTATATTTATTATTATTATAATTTAGTTTTAATAATTAAAACAAGTTCCTTAGTTTTTACTAACAAAAAGCGACAGTAATGGCCACAATTTTATTAATCTTACTTTAAACTTACAAATCAATAATAGAAACATTGTATTGCATTGGTACTAAATTTTATAGCTTTGTTGTGACTTTTGTTTTATTTGACGAAATTTAAACACAAGTATTTGCCGGTAAAGGAAGGTATTAGTCGTAATTTTAGTTAGGTAGGCATACTAAGTCATCAAAGCAAATGCTAATGATTAAATCTATTACTACTAAAACAAAAAAATAAAAACCAGTGTTGTTAGTTTTTGGAATTAGCCAATTGGTGAACATAGATAAGAGCAAAAAGAAGGAAGAAAATCAACAAATTTAATACCTCAGTTTATAGATTTTTTTAGATGAATAAAAAACAAATATTGCATCAAATAAAAAAACGTTGTTAGTGAGGTCAGCTTTAAATAAAAATAAAAGTTTTAAGTGGAGTAGAACAAAAATTATATAGGACACTTTTTATTTGTAATCTATATAAATGATTTTTATTTGTAATCTATATAAATGATTTTTATTTGTAATCTATATAAATGATTTAAAACTTGAGATAACTAATCATGGCAAACAATATGCAGACGATACAAAAAATATTTTAGCGATTATTACAGTCAGAGGCAGTCGAACGATACAAATAAAATAAGGTAAGATAATTAAATTAGGCAAAAAGACTACTCAGTTTGTTTTTTTTATATGAGTTTTTCTCGACTTTGATGAACAAAGTCTAAAATAACTCATATAAACAAAAAAACTCATATAAACACTTTTACTCTTAGTATTTAATGAGCTATGTATTTATTATGATTAAGGAAAATATTCCAATTATGCAAGAAACTATGGAAAAGAGAGTACTTGGTGTTTTAGCATCAAAAACTATCAGTCGGAACAATCACATTAAAACAATTTTAGCAAGTAGTAGTAAAAACTTGACTAAATAAAAACTCAATTTGCTAATAAAAGTTGTAAGATAAAAACTTAATGAAGTTATTTCACACATTATCTGTGTGCTCGCACTTGAAGCTTGGAGCACGTGTATTATCAAAAGAACATTGATAAATTTAAAAATATACAACATAGAAATACAAAAATAACTAGTTTAAAAAGTGTTTGCTATGAAGACAGACCGGAAAGATTTAGGTTGACTACTTTAAAAACAAGAAGTGTAAGAGATGATAAGATTTAATATTATAAAATTAAAAAAAAAATCGAAAAGGCCCAACGGTATCATCTTCCTAAAATAACTTAGCGTGCAATAACAGCAACAAAAAAACAAAACAAAAAAACACACAAAAAAAAATTGGCTATGATGTTTTCTATATAATTAATTTTAACTTCATTTTTTTATCATGTGATAATTAATGTGATAATACCGTAACTGGATAGCTAAAATATTGTTATTCAGAAGTTGCAATTATTAAATTAAGTGCCAAAATATATTTATTTTTCCTACTTTTTTAATTTAATTTTTAATAAATAATTAAAGTTGTTTCTTTTTGTTTTTAGTTTTTCTTTTTATTTCCTTTTTAGCCCTATAAGTTATTTAAGTTTTACTTCAAATTCATGAATTTTTATAGCAGACGTAATAGGAAAATAGCTGGTTGTTGCATCTTTTTAAAAATTTTTTTAAAAAACTTTTATTTATTTTAAAAGAATTTTTAATTTAAATATCATTATCATACCATTTCATATTTTAAAAAGGCTATTTTTCTTTCGGTTTCTTGTTCAATTAACATAATTTTAGTTTCAAGATCAGCCACTTTTGTTATTGCTATCGGTAGATCATCTTGTGTAGAAGAACTCGCATGAGTGTCTTGTTCTTTTCTCATTCCCTGCTTAATATAACATATACTTTAACTATATTATTAAAAAAGATGATAAAAAAATAATATATAAAACTTAAATTTTTTAAAGATTACATCATTTGTAAACATTTTTTTTTTTTTTTTGTAAGTATTTAAGAAAACGAATATTAATTATAGAATACATGAAAAGACTTCAAAATAAAGTGTTAAACAACAAATAAAGATAGAGAAAAAAAAACAGGAAACTCGTTAACCAGCTCGATTAAACGAAACTACTTTATTTAAAAAAATGATATAATATAAAAATTATGATATAAATGATATAATATTCTTTTATATTTATAAATAACATTGAAAGTTTTTATTTTGTTTGCAAATTTATGCATCAGCTGTTAAATATATACTTTCTAGCCTACGCCAAAAATGCATTGTTTAAAATATTTCTGGGTTCATTAAGGCTAATAAGTTGCTACTTAAGAAAAATGTTACTGTTTTTTTAACATTTTTTTATTGTTTAGAAGTGATTGCGCCATTGCGATAATTTATTACTATTTTATAAATTTTGGGAAACTATGTCATTTTTGGCACTTTGGCGGGAGGTCTAATAGATTAAAAATTTTAAAACTGGTTTCTAATGCCTTAACTTGGTTTTTAATGCTTATATTAGTTTATATTTCTTGCATCCTGCGGTTTTTTGCAGTTTAGATAAATAACACTTTCCTTTAAATATATAAATATTTTTGAGTGGATACTTTTACGGGGGCATAGACACAGTATGAGTTAGCTAACTTTTATTCATGGAGATCACTACATATATTTATATGTTTCTGCTTATTTCAAATTGCAAAATTTTGTGATGATTGGTGCCTTGCAACAACAAACCCATATATCCCCCTCCCTCATCACTGTCCTTAACATGAGAGCAACAAATTTACAAAATATTATTTTTACTTTTATTTACTAAATATATATAAAATTAAAACTAAAACCAAAACCCTTAGATTGTATTAAAAATCATTAAAATTTTAAACTAAATTTAAATTCATTGACCTATTGAATATTTTATACCATAATCTCTAAGTGTTTGGGTTTTATAAATATATAAGATGTTGTCTTGTAAAACTAAGGGCCACCTACATCATAGACTGAATATAACTAATATCATTAGCAAAAAGTTTAAGTTTGACATCAAGCTGTTTATTAATGTGGCTCGCATCATTCATCCAAGAACACTCCCCTGCTCCCCTGTGGAACACCGTTTGTTACAGATATAGCATAGGAAGTAACATTGTTTAAATTTACCACCTGTGATCTCATGTGCCGAAAATTAGTTAGCCAATTCAAAAGATTGCCAACTATTCCGTAAGCAGGTAATTTCATTAGTAACTTAGAATGTAAAACTGAATCGAAAGCTTTCTTAAAATCAAAAAAAAAAATATCTGTTGAAATACGGCGCTGAAGATTTAAAGTCTAATCATGAAGACTTTCTCGAATATTAGTACAGGTACTACGTTTTGGAAAAAAATCATGCTGCTCTTTTGTGATTAGGTTATTGAGTAAGAGATAATTATTCAGTTTGTTATTAATGCTAGCTATTTTCCAGTCTAGCGGTACAGTACCATCTGTAAATGAGGTATCAAATAAATGGCTTAAAGGAATCGATAAACTATAGCCACAATTCTTTAGGAAAACATTGGGAATGCTATCTATACCAGTAGATGTGGTGGGTTTAAGTGCTCTGAGTGCTTTTTCGACTGTAGAAGGAGAGAGCTTAATAGATGACAGACAAGTTGAATGTACGTTTACTCGATGCGTAAACTTCGGTGATAAACCATAATCGTCTGTAAAAAACTTGCAAAAGTTATTAAAAGTATAAGATATTTCTTCTTTATCATGACAAAGGGTATTATCGAATCGACAAATGTCAGTGAGTTTACTACAGGTTTTGAGTTTTCCATTGACAAAATTAAAGAAACTGCCAAGGTTGTCTTTGCGTATCATCTTAAGTTCTTTTGCTGCATGATACTTTTAAATGGAATCAGAACATTGTGCGGCAATTTATTTATATGCTGCTTTGTCTTTAGGTTTACCTGTTACTTTTGATCTTTTCCATGCCATTGCTTTGTTGTTTATCAACCTTTTAACATAATAAAGATAGTGTATTTTATGTAATAATTTATGCTCTTCACAGACTCGCACTTTAGGTACATGTTGTGTAATAATGTTATTTAGTATAATAGAAAAAGTATGCTAACAAGCTGTTTGAAAGATAATACTCCTATTGAACGATTTCAGATATTTATTGATTACTTGGTAATCTGCATTTTTCCAACAGAAGAACTGTTGCACTGGAACTTCAGTTTTACTATAAAAGCAGCTCAAATTAGGAGTGAATATGATTACATTATGATCACTAGTATCAATAGGTGGTTCAATACAGAGATTACTGATAAATGAATAGGAAGAACTCAAAATAAGATCTAAGATGCTATTTTCTCGAGTTGATTGATCAACATGTTGAGTGAGATTATATCTGTTTAAAAAATGTAAAAAAGAGTTATGTATAACACTATCTGGACCATGATAGTAGTGTCAATCTGTATAAGGTAAGTTAAAATCTCGTAGTATGACCACATTTTTTTGGTCGAACATAATATAGAGAAACATATTACACTACTCTGCATATAGTCAATAGCTTCTTTACCGAAACCCCCACTGCGATAATAACCAATAACTCTGAACGACTGACCATTAAGGTTTAAATCGGCACATACAATTTCTAACTCATGAAACTCTGGTGGTATGTCAACTTTTGTAAATTGTATAAAACTGCGAAAAAATATTGCTATTCCACCACCTTTACTACTTCTGTCATAGCGAAGAACAGTGTAAAACTTAGGACATAATAGACTGTCCGGTAGATTTTTATTTAAGTAAGTTTCGATAACACATCAAATATCAAGACTGTGTAAATGGTCAAAGTGTTGAAAATCAGCAATTTTATTACCTAGACTGCGAATGTTAGTAAGTGTCCATTTCCCACAATAATTGTTTTTTTGATGGTTAAATAGTTTTTGGTTTTTTAAATTAATTAGTTGCCAGTTGTTGTTCTTTTCAATAAACTTGTTTGAGTATTTAAAGAGTAGATTTGTTGAAAATAGCAGCTGTTCTGGTTGACTTAATATGAATTGCTATCTTTTTATGAGTTTTACAACTCTTTCATTTCTAATTCCGTTATAGTATTGTAAATCTTTATTAGTTTCTTCGTTTAATTCAATTTAGCACGTTCTTCTCTTAAAGCTTTCATTTTAAGTGAAGAACGTGCTAAATTGAATTTTATATATTATATATATATATATATATATATATATATATATATATATATATATATATATATATATATATATATATATATATATATATATATATATATATATATATATATATATATATATATATATATATATATATATATATATATATATATATATATATATATAACCATTAGATGTACAGCCAAAAAAAGTTGCAAGTGCGGTAATAAGTGTAGTTGTATTTTACTGGGTATATAAAAATGCGCTACATAAAAAGGTTAAAAAAAAGCATTAGATTTAATAGCAGCTTATGTTAATGGTGTCACAAGAAATATCACAAATCGCAAATTTGCCATGTTTCTTATGACCCAAAAATAAACCAAAAATGATCTGTCATTACAAATTTAAAAAAAATGTATGATTATCTATAACATAGGAAAGGGTTAATAATTTTACCCTTTTTTTTTTGTGTGGGTATCATTAAAACAAAATTCTCACAAAATATCGCAATAATGTTTCAGACTGAACCTTTTCTAAAAAAACCATCTATGAAAAAATTGAATAACAGTTACTTGTTTCACTGTTAAATTGCGTAGGCTATTACTAGCTATACAAAACTAAAGAAATTTAACAATGAACAATAATATGCGTGCAGAATAGTATTTGAACAGACAGAAATGTTGCTTATTTGAGTTGCGAACCGCAACTCAAATAAGTTTAACATACTTGTTGCCCAAGTAAAATGAGGCAAAGATGAACCAAATATGATCTACTCTTACAAAGTTAAAAAAATCCTTAATAATAATCCTTAACATAGGAAAGAATTAAAAATTCTACCCATTTTTTTTAACATAGGAAAGAATTAATTCAATTCTTTTTCTGTGTGTGTAACTTTAAAGTAAAACACTCAAATAATATTTTAATAATGTTTCAGACTGAACCTTTTTTAAAAAATTCATCTATGAAAAAATGTGTTACATAATGAATTTTTCAGAATGAATCGAAACAAATACTATTGTTCATTGATCTTAATAAATCCGACTTTAAATATTATTTTTAACTTAATTCAATCGAATATAACTTAATTTTATAAATTAAATTCAGATGATCATAATACAAATTCATTATGTGATTATATTAATTATAAAATCTTATTTTAAAAAATTTACTTTTATAAAAATGTTATTATTATTATAAAAAATCTTATCTTATCTTTTTTATTATTAAAAATCTTATGATAAAAAATTTTTTTATTATTGATTAATCAAGGTTTGTTTATATTTTTCTAAAACATTTTAGCAGCTGTGTTTAATATTTTAAACATTTTAAATTTTCCTAATTATTAGTTATTTTCTATATAAAATTTAATGATATCGTGGCTTTTACTGAACTTGTTAAAATATAAGGAAAAAAGTTCTTAGTGAGGTCAGTTTAAAATGAAAAAAAGCATTAAGTGGAGTAGAACAAGAATCAGATATTTGGCCCCTTCTACTTTTTATCTATATAAATAATATAACACGTGAGATAACTAATAATGGGAAACAAATATGCAGACGACACAAAACATATTTCAGCAATTAATGCAATCGGAGGCAGTTGAACGTTACAGAAAGATAAGGTAAGGTAAATAAATTGAGAAAAAACGCTTCTCAACTTCAATTAACAAAGTCTATAACAATTCATATCAACAAAAGAAACCTTAACTCTTATTATTTAATGAACTTTACACTTAATATAATGAAGCAAAATTTTCCAGTTATGCAAGAAACTATGCGAAAGAGAGTTCTTGGTGTTATGGTATTATCTTAATTGGGAAAATCAAATCAAAGCAACTTTAGAAAGAAATATTAAAAACCTGGCAAGGTAAAATCTCTTTTTGTTGATATGATAAAAGTTTAATGGATTTATTACAGAAGTTATTTGTGTGTCCGCACTTGAAATTTATAAAACCTGTATTTTCTAAAGGATATTAATAAGCCTAAAAATATAATACGTAGGGATACACAAATAACTATTTTAAAGACTGTTTACTTATATCTTTGAAGACAGACAGATTCAAGTTGATTACTTTAAAAACAATAAATTTAAGAAATGATAAGATTTACTATTATAAATTAAAAAAATATGTATAAAGTTCAAACGAAATTATCCTCCTAAAATAATTAAGCGTGCAATAACAACAACAAAAATAATTGGCGCGTAGATGTCTTCATATAATTATTTTTAACTTAATTTTTTTATCATTTGGCTGTTAATCTAAAAATACCTTAATTTGATAGCTAAAAGATTGTTATTCAGAAGTTGTAATAATGAATTAATTGGCAAAATATATTTATTTTTCCTATTTTTTAATCTTCACTAGAAGCACAACTTTAAACACTAATCTTTTTGATTTATAAATATATTATATAGTTTTTTAATTTATACTTTTATATCATTATTACCCTATAAACATTAAAGTTTTATATTACAACGCTTAGCGCACATGTATGGATTATTATTGGTAGACGCAGTAGGTAAATATATAATTGTTTCATTTTTTTTTTTATCAATTTTTTTTTTAATTTTTCTATATTTTGAAACATATTATTATTATAATATAAAAATATTTTAAGTATCATTATCTTACCATGTCATATTCGAAAAAGGGCATTTTTGATTCCAATTCTTCCTTAAGTAACATAATATTAATTTCAAGTTCAGCCACTTTTGATATTGCCATTGAGAGATGGTTTTGTGTAGAAGAATTGGCATGAGTATCTTGATCTTTTCTCATTCCCTGCGTAATATAACTTATACCTTAACTATATTAATAAAAAATGCGATAAAAAATTTAAAACATAAAACAGGTCAATACAAATAGAACTTAAATGATTTTAAGGCTACATTATTTGTATACAAATTTTACAAAACAAATTTATTGATTTTAGATGTCAAAATGTAAATTTTTAAACACTCTACCGATTATATTTTCTAAAAAATAATATTTTTTTAAAACTTTTTTTTAAATTAATAATTAAGATTGGTTTAAAAAACGGCATAGCACAGAGTTGAGAACACGATATTAGATATGCTATTGCATGCCGTTGATCTTGTTAATCTTATTAAATGCACTCTGTTGATCTTTATGAAAACAACTTATTTAAAAATTGATGTTAATAGCACCAAAACCAATCACAAGTAATCGTTATTTGAAATTAAATTGAACATGTTAAATAATATCATTTAAGAAATCATGAAAACTAAAAATTATGTGCATAGAATCATGTTGTGTTTAATAGCAGACTAGAGGAATGCAGGGCAAAGCCATGAGATAAGATGGGCATGATATTAGATTTACTAATGTTCATTTTTTAACAGTACAACTTAAAATTACATTCTAGTTACTTATTTTTGAAGTACATACCATTTAAAACATATTGCTTAGTAAAAATTCTTTCTAGCAGACATCAATATCAAGTTTGAGCCATTTTCTCATCGTTGTAGGGTTACAAATTTTTCTTCTTTTTACAAAAACTATCGTGTTTGCTGTTCAAGTAAACTTGACAACTGTCAAAATATGCTTTGTCGAATAAATAATTCTCCTTTATTCTAATGTACTTCATTTCTTCTCTCAGGCGTTCACTGCTCGTGTGAGTCCATTCGGCGAATTTTATATGCCAAAGTTTATATATAATATTGGGCCTAGCCCGTAAGGGTTAGTGTTACGGTCATCGAGCACAACTATTTTCCTAATCGCAATTACTGTCACCGCGAAAGAGGATGTTTGTCTGTGGAAGATGCCTGCGCTAGCTTTTTAGTCATAAGTCAGTTCTAAATCCATGCATAGGAGTTTAATCCATCATGGTTTTCTGGAGTATGGCTGGGCTGGCTTGGTTTGGTTCAGAGACAAATCTTTTACGCTGGTTACTAACAATACAAGACTCTACTGAACGACAAAAACAGCACAGACTTATACATTACACCTATACACCCTTATGCACATACAGCCTATTTACATCGTTTGCATGTTTTTTGTTCTTTCATAGATAAACTATCTTTGTTTGAACTCATCCTTAATTAAATATTATTTTCTTTTAATAGATAATATGAGGTTGAAATGTTGATATAGATTTGTATGTTATCTATATGTGTTTATCATGTGTGAGTGAGTTTTTAATTTAAGGATTCATATGTATATATATATATATATATATATATATATATATATATATATATATATATATATATATATATATATATATATATATATATATATATATTCTTATAAACTAGCGGCTTTCGACATGTTTTTATGATGTATGTTTTTCCTTGTTATTTTGTTATGGTCATTCAATTCGGACCGTAGAGAAAATTTTTCTTTTCGGAAAGTTCGATTTAGATATGGAACAAAATTGTTTTGATTTGTCAATTTCGTTTTCCGTTTTTAAAACTAAATTAAAAAACTATATTCTTTCTACTGGCAATATATATAATTATTTTTGAAATGTAAAATTCTTTTTTTCACTCTTGATAATTTGTAAAATTATTTTCAGTTTTTGTTTCTTCTACATTGTTAATAGTTATTTGATCAATTGTATTTTTATTTTATTATATATACACGTATGATATATTTTATATGGTTCTGGCGACAAGATCATTTGGATCTTCTTTCAGATACCAAGTTTATATATTGTTATATTGTTATATTACGATCAATAATTGTAAACTAAAAAAAAAAAAAAAAAAAAAAAAAAAAAAAAAAATATGGTCTTAAAATTATTTTTAATTCGGACCGTAGAGGAAATATTACTTTTCGGAAATTTTGATTTAGATACAGTCATTACGGGTAACTTTGAACGGTTTGCGCTAGGTTTATCTCTACAAAAATTGTTTTACTAACTAGATAGCAAATATTTTTACATAAAAGGTGTTCTGATGATCTCTTTATTCTAGTTTGTTATCATTTTTTTAAATTTGCTAGATATTTGTAAAAAAACAATGTTCAAGTAGGCGTTCAAAGTTACCCTCGCATTTCGGGTAACTTTGAACACTATTAAACTGAACGTCAATTTTAATCTTTTAAATCTAAAAAGTTGTTTAAATATCTTTGTATTAGTTTAAATTAATTTTTTAAAAAATCTAGTTAAACTATTTCGAGAATAAACAAACAAGTTTTTCAATAAAATATTTCGAGAATAAACAAACAAGTTTTTCAATAAAATATTTCGAGAATAAACAAACAAGTTTTTCAATAAAATATTTCGAGTATAAACAAACAAGTTTTTCAATAAAATATTTCGAAAATAAACAAACAAGTTTTTCAATAAAATATTCACAAAATAATTTTTAAGGTTATAAAAGAAAAAATAATTAGGACATTATTTTTATATAATTCTCCACAAATAAACACCATTGACTATAAAACTAAATATTATAGTGTTTCAATCTTTTAGTCTTGAGTTACAACTAACTCTTTTAAAAAATAATCATGATCAAAAAAAAAACAAGTACATAGTGATTGTTTATTTGCTCCAATGAAAAAACTGCATCATTTTGAGATACAGGTAAAACTTGTTCATTGTCTTCAATAACTTGATTAACATTTACGATGCTTGAACTTTGTAAAATATTAAGTTTTTTGTTTATTTTTATAACCATATTATTTGATCCAAGTGGTCTTCCTCTTTTCTTTGCTCGAATATTATCTTGACATTTTTTTTATTGTCTCTTTCCTTATAGCATGCTTCTACCTCAGTGGCTGATACACTTTTCCCTGCTGTTATTGGTAACTTAAATATTTTGCTTACTTCATAATTAAAATGAATATCATCAACATAGTTCCTAAACGATTCTCCAATATTGAGTTGAATATCTATATTTGTAAAACTGGGTAATTTGGAGAGAACATGTTCTGGTACATAAGGATATATGCCAGTAGCCTTAAATCCTGCTTGGAGATTATGTTCTAGATTTTCTTTACCAACATTAAGAGTAGATTTAATGAGCTGCGTTAACAATTTTTTTGGCAGGTTATTAACCTTTTTTCCTCTAGATGTTTTACGCCATTGATTAAGAACTGACCTCCAATTAGCTTTTAAACTCGAGAAATATCCAACATCTAAAGGTTGTAAAAGGTGTGTGGAACTGGGTACCAAACATTTAAGTGTTATATTATGCTTTTCACATATATTTAAGGCTTTTAAAGATATATGAGCACTTAAATTATTGCAAATCAGAATTTTTCAACCTTCCTTATTTATAATATTTGAAACAAAGTGATTTAACAGCCACTCTTCAAATATTTGAATTTCCACCCAGCCACTGCAAGAAGTTGCTATTCTTGATTCTTCTGGTGCATTGAAAAGCTAGTCAGACCAACTGCGTTTTCCTTTAAAAATGAAAAATGGTGGAATTAGTTTCCCTGAGGCATTTCCACAAAAAACAACAGTGTAACAAGTTTTTGTTGTGTTTCTTATAAGTTCTGGATGGCGAGAGGATCGACAAAAAATAAGTTTTTTTTTCCAGGGTCATCATGAAACCAAGTTTCATTCATATTGTAAATGTTATCTGGCGTTACTCCATTTAATTCCTTCTCTAGATTTTGAAAAAATAATTATATTTGACAGTAATTAATCTGTGCACGTTTCCTTGAAATACAATGAGACACTTTTTCTTTTAACGATGGATGCCTGTCAAGATAAAGTTTACACCACTCCCAACCAGGTCGGTTATCTTTATACTGTTGTATATTATTTCCACTATCATCCAGATAGATTTTGACAATACTTTTAAAATCATTAATTCCAATTGGTATACCTTTGTCACTTAAATAAAGTAAGTGATTTTCAAAACAAAGTTCCTCATCAATGCTAAGGGCAATAGGGCGCCCTATTGATTTACAGTGTTTACTTTTTAGCTTATAAAATAATGTTGCTTTAGGTACTTTATAAATTTTAGAAGCTTCACCAATCGACATTTTTTCTAATTTAATTTTGGCTAAAGCCTCTTGAAGTGTAGAATTGGTGTAATTAGATTTAGTGCCATATTTTCTTGTGCCAGGATTATTTGTTGAACATTTTCTTGGCATTTTATGAATGCTAAAAATATAAAGATGATATATATTATTAATGAAAATTATTTAATTAATCGCATATTTGCTATTAATAAAATATATTATTACATCTATCAAGACAGCCATAAATATAAAAAAAATAATAAATTAGTAATAGATATTATAATTTTTGATATTTATAATATCATATATCATTATATAATAAAAATACTATAATAAAAAGATGCCTATTATTTATTATGTATTATTGCAATGTTACTCAGACAGCAAAAAAAGAATTTTTGGAAAATATTGATTGTCTAAAGTTACCCTGAATTTGGTTATATTTTAGCTAAGTGGAAATAAATATCCTTTTTGTAGCATGTTACGTCCTATTATTTTGTTAAGTCCTATTATTTTGAGTTTGTATTAAAGTTCGAAAAATAATTCAATAAAATACTTAAAAATCTATTCAGATAATTACAATATAATACCAAATATTCTAAATTGAAAACACACGATGTTATCACCACATTCGACTGTGTAACTGGAAATGGAGGAAAACATTATTTTTGAGAAATAAAATTTAATTTTCTTTGGTCAAACTTTTGTAAAAAAAGATAATTCATCATATTATTCTTTGTTAAAGCAACAGGCAAAGAAAATACCAAAGAAAAAAAAATTTAAAAACATTTACACGTTTAGTTCAATGTTACCCGCAAATTCAAAGTTACCGTATGGTCTCA